AACTTTATGATGCACTACGGGAGTTCATCCGTTTGGTACGACGTGGTTCACGTGCACATGCTACTCTACTGCTGACGAAAGTGTGTGACATTAGGTTCAGTTTTGGTTGCATGATTGTGCAGCGTGGATGAACAACAAAAGAAACGGTGTAGAAACGTGCGGAACTTCCTGGATGAAATCAGTCACGTGCGAAAAGGAGATAATTATTTCTACGTGAAGATTCGGTGGAGGATGACCGGAACGTAAATTACAAATGTTTTTAGAGCACATTGTTGCGTGTAACACAGCTTAATTGCTTAGCAGGAAATCAAGATAATGCTTGTTTTTCGAAGGGACAGCACAGCTAACGCATGGTAAGGGAGAGGTGCAGAGGCAGGGATGCCGTTTACCACGTACACAGCTCGGGGGAAAATCCGAAACCAAATCGCGCTCGCGCCAACCACGAATTTTGTTCCACATATCCGAACCCCTCGTAGCCGGATAATTGGAACAATGACTCGCATAGGAGGAAGCGCACTTCTAGTTTTGCAAAGGCCGGGCGCTGAAAGTCACGCACTAGCTTGAAAGCGTTCAAACTTCACCTTTATTCCGGAATGAAAGTAGAATGCTTGACGCATCCCCGAACAGTGGTTGACGAATGAGCCTTACTTTGCATTTCGCTCTTACTTAAAGATAGGGTCCGCGCTCACGAACTATCGTACCCGACTAATTCAGTGAGCGCGGACCTGCCTTTAGGTGCGAGATACGCAACGAGTTCGCGTCGCGCCACCTTTTTACATCGAAACGCGCTTCCAACACGCTAGGCGCTAGGGACTTAAATCGACTCCCTCCAAAGCAGGGTGAAATCGCTTGAGGAAAAGACAACGGCTCGTCGAGGATTTCTTTCACGCTCTCCCACGCGGATGCTCACTCTCGCCACCCGCGAGCCGTCTGTGCTCTCCGCGCATGCATTCACTCTCGACACTACTCTCGCACAGTAGAGAGCCATGGTCGAGGAATTCCTCGACCGTTATTCACCCTGCCCTAAAGTGAATCGGAGCCCGCCCAAAGTTCGACATCTTATCTGCGTCACAATGTTAACCTGCTGTGTTCTCTCTACTCTCACTTCTTTACCCTCTCCACGAAACACATTATCTCCCATTTTTCGCCTGCCTATTACGATTCGACTTCTCCGCAGCTAGAGCAATAAGGGTCGTATTCCCTGCATTTTCGACGATTTTCTTTCCTTTTTTTGGGAACTTTCAGCTCACTGTGTACCCCTGCTTTCATACTTGAGTGAGATTACCACAACAATTCAGTCCTTGCCCTTTCTTCGCCGGTGAGATTACCCAAACAATTCAGTCCTTGCCTTTTAAACACATTCTTTACTGAGGAACACAGCTACTACGCCTCTTAGGTTTTATCGTTTGTTGAACTAAAAGGTATGATCCAAGATTCATGAACTACATGAAGCCTCTGCTGAAGATTCCAACGATCCAGGACTCCTAGAAAAAAAAATCTGCATTTTTTAGATTTGGCAAGCGATCTGAAGCCTTAGACGAGGACACCATGGATATGGAAAAACGCAAATCGGCCTATATGCGTTTTGGCAAGAGAAAGAGCGCCTACATGCGGTTAGTAGATGATTTATTGCGTTTTCGGGAAAGACCACACAAAGGCATGGTCACAGAAAAAACGTGGACATCTTTCGCATTGTTTTCACACAAATTCCATTCTTCATCCAAAATTTGGTCCCGTTTTTTGTCCTTCCAAACCCAATTAGTTAGTTAATAGGCTTCAAGCTGAATATTAATAGGGTTGATATCTCGAAAAAATTAGAATCTGGATTCGGCCAGATTCATACCGTGTTTGCCAAAGGCGAATTTCACGATAGAAAGGTAGTCCATTGGAAATTAAATTTGAGATGGTCAGTGATGCACAAAAGAAGAAAAAACAAAAAAGCGGCGGCTAACCGAGAAAATCAGGCCTTTCTCTGGCCCGTTGATCCTTGTCAGTTGATGGGACTCTCATTCCGTGCTGCTCTCTTCAACGCTAACGCTCTCTGCCAAACGGCTAGAGGCTCAGACAGCGAGAGGGGCCGCACTGTGCCCATAGCGCGCCAACAGCGCCGCGGGAAAGGCCATGCTAGATCGCTGGGGGCATGCCTCCGATGCGAATTGCGTGTGTCCGGCACCCTTGGGATGTCTGCCTGTCTCTCCACCAGGTAAATTTCCCTTTCTTCGACCCTCATCTTTATTGTGGAATCCTAATTTAAAGGCACAACTTAGGCAGATACCCTTCGACCTGTATGATAGACCCCTAAGGCACATTCCCGTGCACGGAAACCACCGACAAGAGCGCTAGGGCCTTGCAAAGTAAGCTGCTGCAGCTGCAGATTTTTTCTCTTATCAGGCTGTTGTCTGGCGCTCTCTCATCTGTTGCGCTCTCTCGCCTCATACTCTCCTCTCCGCGCTTAGTCTCTCATTCCTTAGCACAGCCGATTAGAAGGTGAGTGAGCCCTTAACCTAAGCGTTTTAACGGATTTTTCCTTTTTTACTGCCGGCCCATTTCACCAATACATTCGTATTCGTGTGCAAGAAGCTCACCAATTTGATCCTTAGGAATGTTGTTCAAATGGAGTCGAAACGATAAGCAGCATTTGCTAGTGATGTGCCAGTAATTCAGCAACAATGCATGTCAGGGTGAATGTTCCTTCAAACTGCTTTCGGTAATTACGAGTGATTGAAGCGTGTATTTACCACAAGTAAATAATGAATCATCGTAGGAAAATATGGTGTATAAGAATGTTCGGGAACTCAATGTAAGGGAAAAGAAGAGACCCCAATGCACTTATGAAAAACAGATTTGAAACAATATGTAGCTGCTATGAATAACGTATGCTTCAGCGCCAAGGTACGCAAAATTCGCTCCTCGGACCTAGCCTGGGCCAATCATTCGTTGGGAAATTTCCCAACCAGAGAACTATGTAATGATTTCTGGAAAATGCTGGCGTTTGAGCAAAATAACAATGCACTTTTAAAAGAATGTTGGATGAGGTTTTTTAGGAATCAAATTCCTTAGAAAATTTAGGAAAGTTTATGAAGCGTTGCAACTTTTCTTTTTGTTGGCAATTATACAGAAAGATTAATGATCCCTGATTGGCAACCGGAAGGTAAGTTAAAGGAATGGTACAAGAGGAGAGGACCGTCACACTTTCTCAAAACTCACCCAACGCAATGACTAATTCTGATCCTACCGACCTTTTATTTACCAGTAAAAATTGTTGATGCAGTCAGCAACTCCCACCCGCAATTCAAACCATTTAATTCCGCACCGTTTGTTCAG